AGACTCGCCTGTGGGTTGTTATCACTGTTAATCCTCGGAAATTGGGTGACCACCTGGGTGATGTCTCCTTTAGTCCTTGAAAGTGGCTAGGGGAGATATCTGATTCCAGAGAAAGCCTTTTCCTGAGGCTGTTCTCCAAATGCCTGGAATGTGTATGTCCAGGGAGTGATCAGTTCACACTGTTAGCCCTTCTTAGGGAAAAGTCAATGGGGAAAACTGTGAAGGCACACGTGATTTTCATAACAGAAGACAGCTGATATATAACAAGCCAAGTAACACCAAAAACTCCTTGGGATTTGGCTTCCTCTGGAGGAATTCCCTGATCCCTCAAGGTAGTGACTTTGCCATAACCAGCTGAGTTCTTATGATATATTGCTGCGGCCCGCAGCAATTTATTGAGTTTTCCCAACTCCTGGGCCTGCTTCATTGCATTTTAGCCCTATGGTTGAGTTAGGCTCTTGGCTTTCCATGTAAGGCTGTGCCAGGAAAGATTCTGAGAGTGCACACATGGGACCCTCAGACTCTGGTTTCCAGTGCACCTGGGGAGGGTCCACCCGCAGCGTTAGGTCACATTCTTCTAGCAAGACCCAGGTGGGAGCCTCCTCATCCCAGCTGTTCCCGAGGAGGCTGAGGGGCAGGGACACAAAGCTTGGCTCCTGCCATGGGGTGCTCTGCACCAAGATCTGCTCCACCTACCAGCAGAGGAGGGGAGAGGTTGTAGGGGGTGGACCTGTAGCCTGAGCCCCAGGCCTCTGCAGCACATGCCAGTGTCAGCCTTCCCGGATGTACCCAGGGCGCCCCCGCCACATCCCCAGGGCCATGGCCTCTCACCAGCTCCAGCTGCTTCAACAGCATCCTTGTCTCCAGAGCCTCAGCCAGCAGCTTCTGCTGGGTTTCAGTCAGCGCTGGGGAGAGAGATTGGGGCTGAGAGAGGGTTCTGGAATGCCCCAATTGGAACCCAGTCCTCCTTTCCTGTCCCATGCTAATCTAATCCTCCGGGGGTTCTCACCAGTCAGTGCTCCCAACAGGTAGGAGATGGGCTCAGCAAGTTTCAGGACCAGTTCTCCAGAGGGAAGCACCAGACACTCGAGGACGCTGCCTGCCGGGCCATCCAGAGGTTCCACCTGCCCACCACTGCACAGGCCCTGGTCCAGCTGAGGCACAGGTGGGGGAAGTGAGGCTGGGCAGGCTTGGGTAGGCCCTGTCCACCCCCAAAACCCTCACTCACTGAGGCCTCCAAGGCTTCCATGTGGGGTTGGTCGTCTAAGAGTCTCCCAATGTCCCTTAGTAGTTGTTCTCTTAACTCCATTTTTAAGTGCCGCAGTTCTGCAGACTTATCCTTCACCTCTGCCCGCAGGC